TCTTAGCAGTTTCCAGACCCAAAGCTCATTTATCAAAGGGATGGCTAGGCCCCATTTTGGAAAGACATGCAATAGCATTTCAAGTAAACAATAAATATTCTCTAAATCCTTCCCCATTGGGAACTACAGCCATTTACGCAAAAAATGTGCATTGAGGACACAACTTTTGAGGGCTGTTGAATATAGGGGTAAACAATAAATATTCTCTAAATCCTTCCCCATTGGGAACTACAGCCATTTACGCAAAAAAATGTGCATTGAGGACACAACTTTTGAGGGCTGTTGAATATAGGAGCTGAGCTGACACTAAACCTCAAGATCCGGAATACCATAATGGTGCTCTGGTTAGAAGGTGGCTTATGGAGGCCAGGTGATATGTTGGCACCAGCCAAAAAAAGGACTGCTGGTAGCCACAGACCCACTCAAGTGTTGCTCGTAGGGACAGTGGTGATGGAAAGTTCTCCCAGTGGATAGTCTTTCAAACAACACTTTTGGATGTCAATTTGGTACGGGGAGAGAAGTGGCATGAGGTAAGATTACTTCATGATGGATGGCCTGCCTAGTTGGTCAGAGACCTGGAAGGAGCAAAACTGAGAGATTTGAGGAAGAGACTCGTGGGTGGACCTATGGGAGTGGGCACAAATTGTGCAGATCTTGTGTCTACATTGACACCCACAAGAGAGCTTCTACCATAGAGAAGGCATGAAGAAACCAAATAAATAGAATAATTCCCTTTTTGATTACTCAAGCGTTTGTGCAATGGACCAGTGATAGCCTAGGAGGGAAGCTATACATGCACCCAACAGCTTGAACTCCTTTTCACTAATACTGATCTCGCTATCTGCACTACTGAATTCTGAACCTGCCAGAAGTGCACGCTGGCCCTGAACACACTCAAAATGAAACCATTCTTCAAGGAGAGCAGCCAGCCACTTGGGCATAGGCTGATTACACTAGACCCCTTCTACCCTGGAGGAGGCAAATTCCTCCTTACTGAATATATTTTTCCTTCCCTACCTGCTTGTTTCTGCCAGCTCTGCTACCCAAGACTCTGATATTAAGATAAAAATATTTTGAGTTTTGTCCACAATTTCTGGCTCATTACTCCCATGGCCCAATTCTAATCTTCCCCTGCCTTTCTGTCTTGGAGCTGGCCACACAGATATTCTCTGACCTTCCTTGTCTGATTGGAGGTCATAAGATCCCCATTGCAGGGGGGTTCCTGACCCATATCTAGGAGGAAGGAATGCTGCACAGAGAGGCTGAGAAGAATCTGTAGAGACAGGCCTTGCTGGGTTCCCCACATAGTCCATTAGTGTTAGATCACACCCTTTTTATCCAATCATATTTCTACGTGGTTAACCATGCTTCAATCATGCCTACGTAATGAAGCCTCCATAAAAGCCCAAGAGGCCTGGGTTTGGAGAGCTTCTGGGTAGCTGGACACATAGTCCATTAGTGTTAGATCACACCCTTTTTATCCAATCATATTTCTACGTGGTTAACCGTGCTTCAATCATGCCTACGTAATGAAGCCTCCATAAAAGCCCAAGAGGCCTGGGTTTGGAGAGCTTCTGGGTAGCTGGACACAGAAGGACGTGGAGGTTCCTGGGGGGTGGCACACTCAGGGAGGTTAAGGGAGCTCCACACCCCTTCTCCCTATACTCTGCCCTTTGCATCTCTTCATCTGTATCCTTTGTAATATCCTTTACAATAAACCAGTAGATGTAAATAAAGTGTTTGCCTGAGTTCTGTGAGCCACTCTGGCAAATTAATTGAACTTGAGGGGGAGGTTGTGAGAAACCTGATTGATAGCTGGTAGGTCAGAAGTATAGGTGACAACCTACTACTGATGACTGGCGTCTGAACTGGGAAGAGTCTTGTGGGACTGAGACTTCAACCTGTGGGGATCTGACACTGTCTCCAGGTAGATAGTGTCAAAACTGAATTGAAGGGCACCCAACTGGTGTCCACTACAGAATAGCTTCTTGCTTGCTTGCTAGTGGGGAGAAATCCCCACACATCTGTTGTCAGAAGCATGTTGTGGGACTACAGTGGGAGAAAGTGCTTGTGGTTTTTCCACACGGAGGTTTTACAGGATGATTGAATTGTCAGCATAAGATCTTGTGCAACATTGCCTCAGATGGAGGTACCCATTTCATGGCAAAGGAGAAACAATATGGGGTGTGACAATGGGATCTACGGTTCTTGCCATACACTGCATCAACTAGCAGTCTTCCATCAAGGCAACATGGACTGAACAACAGAATGGCCTGTCACAGCTAATCTAGAACACCAGCTATGGACAAGACACTATAGGATTGGGACTGTCCTCATTCAGTATACTCACTCAATATATATGGTACTTCATCACCAATATCTAGAATACATGGATCTGGAAACTGAGGAGTGTAAGTAGTAACCACCTCTCTTACCATCAGACCCCGTGACCCACTTCCTGGGCAGGGGTGACCAAGGAGACATTTTCACCAGAGGAGTCAGTAAAGGTCCTGTGAACTTAAAGCTATGAGTACTACCTGGTCATTTTTGGCTCCTCATGCCAACAGGTCAAGAGGAGAAGAGAGAAATCACTATGTAAGAGAGGAAATTGACCCCAATTACTATGAGGAGATAGGTGGTTGCTGCACAATTAGGAAATGAGAGAGAACATCAAAATATATATGTTAGCTAGGGTCTTCTGATACCAAAACGAGGTTAAGTGTGCATGGATTTTATTAGGGCAAGTACTGGTGAGAGAAAATGAGGAGGGATCCAGGAGATGCTGGGAGAGCATCAGAGTTTCCAAATAAAAAAGAGAAGAAAGGAAAGTTGGGTGGAAATGGCCTAGCCTACTGTATAGTCTAGAAAATCTTAGCAAGGCTGCTGGGGATCTACAAGCTAAAGTCTATTGTCAGGGGAGTCCTACATCTCCTCGGAACAAGCCTGCCTCAGTGTCCCTTCTGTGCTCAGTCATTGTTTGGGAGCAGTGGGGGGGGGGCATGCAGAGGGTGGTATGGATTCCTAGGAAACGCCCAGATAGATTTCAAAGTGCAGCAGCTGGAGTCCTGGGATAATTATACTCCCTGCAGTTGGAGGTATGCAAGGCACATTAGAGCCATAATAGATGGATGGATGGATAGGTGATAGATAGGTGGACAGACGATAGAGAGAGAGAGAGAGATAAAATATGCATATATGAGGGTACTTCAAAAAGTTCATGGAAAAATAGAATTTAAATATAATACAAAATAGAAAGAAAACAATCACAACAATACATTGAACTTTCAGAAGGACAGAACAGAACTGTGATTACTAGAGATGGGAAAGGGGAAGGGGGAAAGAGGTTAGTGAGAAATTGATTAATGGACATGAAGAACGATTATGTTTTGTAATGATGAATATGATAATTATCCTGATTTGATCATCACACATTGTGCAAGTAATAGATTGGCAACATAACCAGCACCATTTTAGACAAGCCCAAGTACAAAATGATGCTGCCCACCTCCTCCCCTCCCCTCCCCCCTTCCCTTTATGAGAAGCCTCCTGACTTAAACAGAACCCCCTTTTGCTTCCGCAAGGACACAGTTCTCCACCCCGATCCACATTAGCATAATGACCCTCCTTGATAGTATCAGACAGCCCTTGGCGCACTATATAAGCTCTACCACCCCCACGCCTGAGGCTGTCCTCCATTTTCAGTGCAGCCCTGGACTGTCCTTCATTTTGAGTACAGCCGGCAGATTTCTTTCTTTAATAAAGCTTGAACAGTACAGGCATCTGGGCTCACTTTCTTTCATGCAGGTATTGATATTCAACTCTGTACCCCACAAATATGTATAATTACTTATGTTTCAATAAAAAAATAAATAAAACCTAGAAAAGATGCAAAAAATAAAATAAAACATTTCAAACTTTAAAATTAAAAAAAAAGAAAGCTAATATAAATCTGTCCATGAATTTTTTTGAAGTACACTCATACAATCTCCCTATTTATTGTTCTTTGTTCAGTCCTTCAGGAGCAACTGAACCAACTTCCCTTTGTAAAGAAAAATATAACTTTAATATGTGCAATTTGCTTCTGTAACAAATGCTTGCTAAAAACGGGGAAACATAACTAATGACATTTTAAGTAAAGCAGCTTCTAAGGGGCCATGTAGAGGTCAGGCGGGCCCAGGCACACTAAAAATTCCAGGAAGGGAGTGACCACCACCCAGTTCCAGGAACTGACCAGTTCCTTATCTAAAGGCCACCTGGCCAGACCCCAGGGAAGATAAATGATTGAGAAATGTGCTGTTCCTTATCAGGGTACCAGCCCGCTAAAGCCTACCTATAAATCTAAAGGTGCCTCAGATAACTAACAACTCATCCTGTTACAGAAGTCTGTCTAAAAAACTATATAAAAAGTGCTTGTGTTAAGAGCTCGGGGTCGCTTCTGTCCAAGAGACTGAGTGACCCCAGCATGCTGGAATAAACTCCTCTTGCTTGATTGCAGTGGTCTCTGTCTTGTGGTCTTTGTAAGGTGAGCAATCCCAACGTGTGGGATTTGTGCATGGTGCACAAGTCTTACATTTTTAGTGCATTGACCGGGAAGCGGCTCTCTCTCTCTCTGGGACCAGAGACTAGAGAACGAGGATTGCTTGAGCAGGTACCGCAGTTGTCTCTGTCTGTCTGCTGTGTCTGTGTTGGAGTCTTCTTTGTTGTTTACTGTAATCTGGTTTTGGATTTTCTGAGGCTCCGAGGTGAAGCCATCAGTCTGTAGTGGTCATAGCAGTGGGTAGACGTACTGGCATGTCGTGGCCACAGGAATCCTGGAGGACGCTCCAGATTCCTCTGTGGGAGATGAACAAGTTTGGCTCCACGGGAGATCTCTAGGAAGGAGACCCCTCCTGAGTTCTCTGATAATCTGGTTGTGACGCCCGTAGCAGGGGCGTGTCAGTGTTTTGGTTTTTGTTTGTCTGGTTGCGTGTGTGTGGGGACTGATGATTTTCTGGGGCAACATGGGGCAGACTGTCTCAACCCCTTTAAGCCTGACTCTGAAATATGGGATTGATGTGAAGGACAGAGCTCATAATTCGTCTGTGCAGGTTAGAAGGAATAAATGGGCCACACTTTGTTCTTCGGAGTGGCCGACTTTCCAACTCAGGTGGCCCACTGAAGGTTCCTTCTCTCCGCCATTGATCACAGTGGTAAAATGGAAGATTTTCAGTTCTGAAAGTCACCCAGACCAGATACCTTATATCATTGTCTGGGAAGATCTAGTCACGGATCCTCCTCCGTGGGTCCGTCCCTTTGTTCCCTTAACAGGTCCGTCAGCTGTATTTGCTCTTTGAGAAATAGAAAAGAAACTGGAGGTCCTGCCATCCACTGACCTGGACTGGCTTCTTTCTGATCCTCCTCCCCCTCCCTATCCCCCTTCTCTCCAAGCACAGGCAGTCCGCCTGTCAGCTCCACCAGAGGACCCACAAGAACCCAAGAGAGGGCCTGCTCAAGGGACATGCAGTAAATGAGTGGCCTCTCCAGAGGCAATTCCTATCTTCCCTCTGCGGGCTTATGGCCCTCCCGATGAAGAAGGCAACCAGCCTTTACAGTACTGGCCTTTCTCTTCTTCCGATCTTTACAATTGGAAATCTCAGAATCCCCCTTTTTCTGAAAACCCCCAGGGTCTCACTAACCTTGTAGAATCCCTTCTATTTACTCATCAGCCCCCCTGGGATGACTGCCAGCAGCTCCTCCAGGTCCTGTTCACCACCGAGGAGAAACAACAAATCCTCCTGGAGGCCCGAAAGAATGTTCCAGGAGACGATGGGCAACCTACCTTCCTCCATGATGTTATAGATGCAGGATTCCCATTAACCAGACCAAACTGGGATTTCAACTCAGCAGAAGGTAGGGAGCACCCGAAGGTCTATCACCAGGCTCTAATGGAAGGTCTCTGAGGGGCAGCAAGACGCCCCACCAATTTGACTAAGGTAAGAGAGGTAATCCAGGGGCCCAATGAGTCTCCGTCAGCATTTCTGGAGAGACTCATGGAGGCATTCCATCAGTTTACCCTGTATGATCCTAGTAGTGAAGTGCACAAGGCTACAGTGACAGTTGCTTTTACTGACCAGTCTAGCAGAGACATCAGGAAGAAACTGCAGAAGTTTGAAGGGTTACAAGATAAGTCATTGAGGGAATTAGTGCAGGTGGCTGAAAAGGTTTATCATAATAGAGAGTCAGAGGAAGAAAAGGAAGAGAGAAAGCAGAAAGAGCAGGAGGCTAAAGAAATAAAGAGGGAAAAGTGCCAAGAAAAAAATTTTCACAAAATTCTGGCCACTGTAGTCAGGGAAACTAGGGAGCCTAGTAAGACAGTACTGGGCAACAGGAAGGGACCCCTGGCAAAGGATCAATGTGTGTACTGCAAGGAGAAAGGACACTGGCTTCGAGAATGCCCCAAGGAAAAGAAAAAGCCTCAGGCCCCCAAAGTCTTGGCCCTGCAGGAAGACAGTGATTAGAGGGGACGGGGTTCGGGCCCCCTCCCCGAACCCAGGGTAACTCTAACAGTGGAGGGGAAGCCTACTCAGTTCGTGGTAGACACTGGAGCTGAAAATTCAGTAATACCACGAGCAAATGGACCCCTTCTCAAAGGGAAGTAGTGGGTACAAGAGGCTACAGGGTACAGGCAGTACTCATGGACTACCCAAAGAATGGTGGACCTAGGCGTGGGCTGGGTATCCCACTCGTTCATTGTTATACCTGAGTGCCCCTACCCACTACTGGGAAGAGACCTCCTCACCAAAATCCATTTTGGGTGCTCAAATCCATTTTGACCCCGAGGGACCTCGGGTACTAAATCGACAAGGAAAGCCTCTCAAGGTACTAACTCTCAGGTTGGAAGATGAATACCAACTGTTTGAAAAACAAGGGTGGGAGACCGGACAGATGCACTGGTGGTTAGAAAACTACCCCCAGGCGTGGGCAGAAACTCCTGGGATAGGGAAGGCTAAAAACCGGCCCCGTCCACATAGAGCTGAAAGCTCAAGCCAGCCCTATAGCTGTCCGACAATACCCAATGTCCCAAGAGGCACGCGAAGGCATCCAACCCCACATTGCCCATTTGCTCCAGCTGGGGATCTTATGAAAGTGCCAATCAGCCTGGAACACGCCCTTGCTGCTGGTCCAAAAACCTGGGACTAATGACTACTGACCGGTCCAAGACCTCTGAGAGGTAAATAAGCGAGTGGCCAATTTCCACTCCACAGCTCCTAACCCCTATAATCTTTTAAGTTCTTTACCTCCACAGGACCTGGTATTCGGTACTGGAGCTCAAAGATGCATTCTTCTGTTTGCAGCTGACTGTAGAAAGTCAAGATTACTTTGCCTTCAAGTGGAAAGATCCAGAGACTGGCCTAGCAGGGCAACTCACGTGGACCCACCTGCCTCAAGGGTTCAAAAATTCGCCCACTATCTTTGATGAGGCCCTCCACCAAGACTTGGCTATGTTCTGGGCCTCTAACCCTCAGGTAACTCTGTTGCAGTATGTAGATGATCTCCTCCTGGCAGCGGCCGACGAGGAACTGTGTCTGGAAGGAACAAAGCATCTCCTTACGGAGTTGGGAGAACTGGGTTATCAAGCCTATGCCAAAAAGGCTCAGATCTGCAAGCGACAGGTCAGTTACCTGGGGTGCCTTCTTAAAGACGGGAAAAGATTGTTGTCTGAGGCCAGAAAACAGACAGTGTTTCATATTCCGCCACCCGCTAATCCAAGACAAGCCAGGGAATTTTTAGGTACTGCCGGGTTCTGCCGCCTATGGATACCTGGTTTTGCTGAGATGGCAGCCCCGTTATATCCCCTCATTAAGAACAGTCAGCCTTTCAAGTGGGGAAAGGAAGAACAACAGGCTTTTAACAACATCAAGACGGCCTTAATGTCCGCACCGGCTCTGGGGCTCCCCGACATAACCAAGCCCTTCCACCTGTATGTGGCAGAAAATAAGGGGGTCACAAAGGGGGTCCTAACTCAAAGACTGGGGCCCTGGAAAAAGCCTGTAGCATATCTGTCTAAAAAACTAGACCCAGTAGCTTCGGGGTGGCCAGCTTGTCTAAGAATCATAGCAGCAGTCGCAGTTCTAGTAAAAGATGCTGACAAGTTGACTATGGGACAGAGTTTAGTAATCTCGGCACCTCATGCCTTAGAGAGTACTGTCCGCCAGCCCCCCGACCGCTGGCTCACAAATGCTCACATGACTCACTATCAGACTCTGTTACTGAATTCAGACCGGGTTACTTTTGCTCCACTGGCAAGCTTAAATCCAGCCACGTTGCTCCCAGACCCTGACCTTGACCCTCCTATCCATGACTGCCAACAAGTGCTTGCTGAGGCACATGGATGGTGGAAAGACTTGTCAGATCAGCCTCTGACGAACGCCAAAACCACCTGGTTTACTGATGACAGCAGTTACCTGGAGGAAGGAGTACAAAAAGCAGGAGCCACTACAATAGGTGGCCAGAACCTAATATGGGCACAGGCCTTACCTGCAGGAACGTCCACTCAGAAGGCAGAACTCATCGCCCTCACAAAAGCCCTTGAACTAGGAGAGGGCAAAAGAATCAACATCTATACGGGCAGCAGGTATGCCTTTGCCACTGCCCATGTGCATGGTGCTATCTATCAACAGCGGGGTCTGCTAACCTCTGGAGGAAAAGAAATCAAAAACAAGGCAGAGATCATAGCCCTGCTGGAGGCCCTTCACCGACTGCTAAAAGCGAGTATTATACACTGCCCGGGTCACCAAAAAGGGGATTCCCCCATTGCCAGGGGAAACAACTTGGCCGATTCTGAAGCAAGGGCGGCAGCCAATAGGTCCATGTCTATTCTGTTAGTTGACATCCCTAAGCTAAAAAATACCAAGTTTAAATACTGTGCTGAGGACGTAGCAGTGATCTCAAGGGACTCTAATAACCACTTTGATCAGGAAAAAGGGCGTTGGCATGCAGCGTCAGGCAAGCCTATCTTGCCACAAGAACAAGCATGCATCATGATCAAACAAATGCACCAATGGACTCATCTAGGAGTAAACAAATTGGCCCAGACTGCCCTGAGGACAAAATATCATATCATAGGGCTAAAACAATTAGCAGAACAGATAGTTAAAAGCTGTGTACCTTGTCAAAAAGTAAATGTCTGCAAAAATACAGCGGGACCTGGCAAGAGACTCAGGGGAGACAGACCAGGGATGTATTGGGAAGTAGATTTTACAGAGATCAAGCCAGGCAGATATGGTTACAACTATCTCCTAGTGTTTACAGACACCTTCTCCGGATGGGTAGAAGCCTTCCCAACAAAACAAGAAACAGCCACCGTCATGGTCAAGAAAATCCTGGAAGAAATCTTCCCACACTTTGGGGTGCCCAAGGTAATCGGGTCCGACAATGGACCCGCTTTCATAGCCAAGGTAAGCCAGGGAGTGGCCAGACACCTAGGGGTCGATTGGAAATTACATTGTATCTACAGACCCCAGAGTTCAGGGCAGGTAGAAAGGATGAACAGAACTCTAAAAGAGACCCTGACTAAATTAACCATGGAGACTGGCGTAGACTGGGTGGTGCTCCTTCCCTTGGTCCTGTTTAGAGCTAGGAACACCCCCTCCCGGTTCGACCTGACCCCCTTTGAAATTCTCTATTGTGCCCCCGCCCCCTTGACTTTACTGGGGAACGCCTTTGAACCCACTTGCCACAGTAACAGTGACTTATATGCCAGGTTAAAAGGACTGCAAGCAGTGCAGAAGGAAGTCTGGATGCAGCTGGCAGCTGCCTATGAGCCTGGGACCCCCGAAGTTTCTCACCAGTTCCATGTTGGAGACACAGTCTATGTGAGATGACATTGCTCCCAGACCCTGGAGCCCCACTGGAAAGGACCTTACCTAGTGCTCTTAACAACCCCAACGTGGGCCAGCCTGGTGGCGCACTGGAGAGTGCGCCACTTGAGAGCACGGCAGCGCTCCCACCGAGGGTTCGGATCCCATGTGGAGACCGGTTCCCGCTCACTGGCTGAGCGCGGTGCAGGCACAGCACCAAGGGCTGTGATCCCGTTACCGGTCAGTAAAAAAGACAAAAAGGAAAAAAAAAAAACAAAAAAACAACCCCAACGGATGTGAAGGTAGATGGGATCTCCACTTGGATCCACGCCTCGCATGTAAAACCCGTGCCGCCAGAGGACCAAGGACCAGGAGACGCCACCTGGAGAGTCCAGAGTTCCAAGGAGCACCCCTTAAGACTGAAAATTGTTCGAACACCCTAAATGTTGTAAGATGAAAACTCTCTTGCTCCTCTTATGCCTAACAATTCTCTTCCAGGGCACAAGAGCTAGCAGCCCACATATCCCCAGAAATTTCACTTGGTATGTTGTAAATGGGGTGGGAGATACAATCTGGAGTCAATCCAAGGTAACTACAGGTGGGTAGTGGCCTGACTTATTTCCAGATGTGTGTAAACTAGCTTTAGGAGCCCCACCCAATTGGGATTTAGAAGAATACTTTGATAGCCATAAATCCCCTGTCGCCCCCAGCCCACCAGGCCGCCCTGGGATATCAGGAGGGGTAGGTTGCGCAACCCCTTCTAGAATAAGTCAGCTAAGTGCTCTCACCTTTTATGTATGCCCTGGGTTCCACCGTGACAGGAAACTCAGCTCCTGGTGTGGAGCAAAAGCAGATTATTTCTGCAAGAGCTGGGGGTGCGAGACCACAGGAGACACATATTGGGTTCCATCGTCATACTGGGATTATATAAAGGTAACTGCTAATTATACCCACCAAAAGACTGTCTCTGCCTGCAAGGGATGGTGTCACCCCCTCCGAATGTCCTTCACGGATTCAGGAAAAAAAGCCATCGGATGGGAAAAGGGATTTACATGGGGACTATGGTTTTATAAAACAGAATATGATGATGGGCTGTTGTTTACCATCAGACTCAAAATAGAAACCCAGTATACTGCCATAGGCCCAAATAAATACCTAGTTCCAGGGGTCAAACCAAAGACTACCCCAGCACCCCCGGGTACCCAACCAGAGTCCTCAGTCCCCACTGCAGGGACAGAGGCAGCAGCACCAAAGGAAATAACTCAGCCCCCTGAGCCTAGGCCTCAAAAACAACCTGGGTTATTCCGCTTAATTTCAGAAGCCTTCAAGGTCTTAAATAGTACCAACCCCAATGCTACCCACTCCTGCTGGCTTTGTTATAATGTTGCTCCCCCATATTATGAAGGAATAGCCTTCAGAAATGGAATTAATACTACAACTGATGTCTCCAACTGTCGTTGGCAGCAACGACAGGTCAGACTCACTCTGTCAGCTGTTATGGGGCAAGGAATATGTGGGAAAAATACCTTCCTCACACAGCCAGCTGTGCAGCCAGACTCTTACCGTGACCCAGTGGTCTAGTGACACATATCTGTTGCCCCCTCCAGAAGGACGGTGGGCCTGCACTATTGGGGTCACGCCCTGTGTTAGCTTACAAGTCCTAAAAGGGACCCAAGATTTCTGTGTCTTGGTTCGGTTGTTGCTTCGGCTCAGTTATCATCCCTATGAAGAACTATTATCATATTGGGATAAAAATAATGGGAACTATGGAACCAAAAGGGAGCCCCTAAGTATCACGCTCTCTGTCCTCTTAGGCTTAGGATTGGGAGCAGCTGGGGCAGCTACAGGGGCTTCAGCTCTAGTTATTCAACATCAGAATTACCAAAGTTTACAGGCAGCCATAGATGCTGATATTAAAGAAATAGAAAATTCAATTACTAAATTACAAGAGTCCTTCACCTCTCTTTCTAAGGTGGTCCTGCAAAATAGAAGGGGGCTAGACCTCTTTTTCCTTCAGCAGGGAGGACTCTGCACTGCACTAAGAGAAGAATGTTGTTTTTAGGGCTGACCCCGTGGCGCACTCGGGAGAGTGTTGCGCTGGAAGCACAGCAGTGCTCCTGCTGCGGGTTTGGATCCTATATAGGGATGGCCGGTGCGCTCCGGTGTGCTCACTGGCTGAGCGCAGTGTGGCCAGTCACAAAAAGGACAAAAAAAAAAAAAAAAAAGAATGTTGTTTTTACATTGATCACTCGGGTAATTAAAGACTCCATGGCCAAAATTAGGGAAGGCTTGGCCAAAAGAAAAAAAGAAAGGGATCAAAATCAGGGATGGTTTGAGCCATGGTTCAACTCCTCCCCATGGCTCACAACCCTCGTGTCTACCCTGCTAGGACCATTAGTTATTTTAGTATTGCTTCTGACCTTTGGTCCCTGCATTTTAAATCGCTTAGTAGCTTTTGTTAGAGAACGTGTTAGTACTGTCCAAATTATGATGTTAAGACAACAATATCAGGAATTAAATCAACTAGAGACAAGTATTTCATGATTGAAATACGCACAAGAAAAAGGGGGGATTGTAGAGAAAAATATAACTTTAACATGTGCAATTTGTTTCTGTACAAATGCTTGCTAAAAATGGGAAAACATAACTAATGTCATTTTAAGTAAGGCAGCTTCTAAGGAGTTATGTAGAGGTCAGGCAGGCCCAGGCACACTAAATTCCAGTAAGGGAGTAATTACCACCCAGTTCCAGGAACTGACCAGTTCATTATCTAGAGGCCACCTGGCTGGACCACAAGAAAGATAAACGATTCGGAAATACACTGTTCCTTATTGGGGTGCCAGCCGCTAAAGCCCACCAATAAATCTAAAGGTTGCCTCAGATAACCCATAAGCAGTATACAACTCATCCTGTTGTAAAAGTCTGTCAAAAAAACTGTATAAAAAGTGCTTGTGTTAAGAGCTCGGGGTCGCTCATGTCCAGGAGACTGAGTGACCCCAGCATGCTGGAATAAACTCCTCTTGCTTGATTGCAGTGATCTCTGTCTCCTGGTCTTTGCAAGATGAGCCTTCCCAACAAGTAAGATTCGTGCTTTCGGGCCAGTCTTACAGTGACACCTGTGTCACTGTGTAGAGTCACCATCAACAAGGCCATCACCAGATGTGTTCCCTGGACTTTGGATTTCCCACCCTCTGAAACTATAAGCAGTAAATATTGTTTCTTTACAAAATACCCAGTTTCAGGTATTTCTGTTGTAAGCAGAAATGGACTAATACACTCATCTGATCCTTGGTGTCTAGTCTTTACCAGAATACCTCCTGTAGGCATGGTTGACTGCCCCTTCACTGAGATCAGTTCCCAGCCCCTCAGGAGATCAACTGATACCTGTGAATCAAATCCCCCACCCTAAGTCACATTGTTGGTGTGGATCAAAGCCCCCACCATAAATCACAGTGTTACTATCTGGCTGGCCCCAGGACCCAAGGCAAACAAAGGCACTTCTACCAAACAGGACATTCCAAGGGCTTGGAGATCACCTTCCAGAAGCTGGGAGCAAAGGCAGACCTCTTTTTGGATAAGGTTAAATTTTCTACTATTCAGCAAGTCTCCAAGTCTTATTGAAAACAATCAGGGGAAAACTGCAGAAGAGAATTTAACAGCATTTCCTTCCTTTGCACACAAGCGTATGGTTCGTTAAGAATCCTATCTCTGAATCTGGATATTCTGTTCATCCTGAGAACTGGACTTTGAGAAGAGAGGAAGAACTTTGTGAATATCACCTGAGATTCACTGATCTGCCAAGAAAAGTTTTAGATTTCTGTGAAAGAAGAGTGTTGTGCTTTTTAGTTTTGTTGCTATTCTTATGTTCATTAGAGAGAGAGAGAGAAAGAGGAGTTTTAGTGAAGCAGATGGGTGGACTACTGCCTCAGGCATCCACCCAGTGCCGTCATGCTTTCCAACCTACAGCTTCCAAGGACCTTTTGGCTGGTTACATAGTTCACAGACCTGCGTGAAAGGGTCTGGTGACCCAGCCTGGCATGTGTGGGGTCTGGGGACCCAGCCTGGCATGTGAAGGGTTTATGGCCTAGTCTGTGAATGGGCTTGAGGGGTCTGGGAGCTCCAGACCCAGCCTTAGCTCTACAACTAGCGTGGTCACCTAGCTTTACAATTGAAGCAGCACGAACAGGATAAAGAGCGCTACAATTGGTGATGTTGACAGGATTCCAGACATTAGCCTTAGCCATAGTGCCACAATTGGTGTAGTTGGCAGGATTACACCACAGCTGGCGTAGTCGGGGTCAAGTAGCTCTGCAATTGGCTATGTTGACAGGATTAAGAGCTAGACAATTGGTGCTGTAAAGATTCCAGGCCTTAGCCAGCCAGACAAGAGCCTTAATAAAATAATGTTAGAGTATATTCTTGTTCGTATTAATTTGGCTTGTGATTAACTGCTTTACAGTTCAAAATTGTCAAATTGTATCATATAGTAAATAACATTAATTTTTAAAATGTATAACACTTATTTAAATAAAACTACCAAGCTGAACTTTTGAAAATTTAATTCCATTTTGGTTTAAGCCACTTACTTAAGAGAAATGTATTATCTTTGCCTTAATGGTTTTTAAAATTTATGGAAAGGAATGAAAAAGATTAATTTCAAGAAAGGTTACTTAATCTTTGACTACTGATTCTATTCAAGATAGATTGGCTGAAAAAGTCTGGTTAGCTTTAAATAGGAGAAAAAACTATTCTTGCATATATCACACACCATGTATATAACTCACGAGCACTTCATATAGTATGAATGTGTCATAAAACCTTTAGGCCTACTTGGATAAGACTTTTTTCAAAATCAAGTAGGATTTTTTTTTCAAATGAAAAACTGAAGTCTCCTCACCTACACAACTGACTTGTAGTAGACGGGCTATCCTTTGTGGGGAGGAGAAACTACACCAAAAATATTAGACTAATAAACTGACCACAGAAATAATAAACTGGTCCACAGAAAAATAGCATTCTCTATTCAAATGAACACTGACAATTAACAGTGGGTTATGACATCCTTAACTTACTGTCGCAGTAATGAATCATAGCTTTAGATGTAATGGTGTTTATGCAGGATTCGTTGAGACCTGAAAATTATTTCAAGTCTTCCATCAAGGTAGAAAGATTGAGAATGGCCTCCCTAGAACCTACTGCTGCTGTGTCAATGTGACGTGAGCTTCTGTGCCCTCTGGTTTGCTCACTTTCTAATCCCTGACGACTATGAAGAGCAAAGTTCTACTGACCACCGAACCCAGCCACTCAAGAGACAGGACCTGTTGTGGTTTTGTTTTGTACAACTTGAGCACCTGGGCCCACGTGGGCACCTGGTTTACTGCAGGGCTGAAACACGGTTGCCAGTTTCCCTATGTTCTCATGAACTCTTTCAGTCAAAAAGTGCAGAACTGCTATTAAATGAGGTAAATATACTCATGTGCTCATACAAAAAGATCTTCTAGACACAGCATGACAGAAAACAAGTTACAAAGTGGCTTATAGCATGTAAATACATTTATGTAAACACATCAAGTTATATGAGTTTCTAGCTGATTGTGTGTTCACAGAGGATGAACTAAGCTACAGGTGAAGTTAAAGGATGTAATACTGTGATAAAATAAGAAACACCTTTTGGTCTTCTTCCCTGGACAGAGCTTGGACAGAGCTCCTATAATCTTTGTAATTTCCTAAGGGATAAAGCTGCTAAAGCATCTTTTGTTCTAATATTTGGTTTTTGACCCCATTCCTGACACAGAGGTACTAAATGCCTTAGATTTCCTAATGATAATATCAATGTTTGTTCTAACGAGGTGACTCCTGCTGGGCTTTTATTCTAGTGAGGTGACTCCTGCTGGCCTTCTGGATGCAGCTGGTCACCAGGAGGACTGAGTCATGATTAGAAACTTGGAACTTTCAGCCTAACCCCTGTTGCCAGGGAGGGGAGAGGAGCTGGAGATTGAGTTAATAATAGACCATGCCTACATGATGAAGCCTCTACATAAATCCCTAAAAGACAGGTCTCAGAGAGCTTCTGGGTTGGTGACACGTCTATTTTGCAGGAGGGGGTTATACCCCAGCTCCACAGGGACAGAGCCCCTGTACTTGGGTACCTTCCAGACCTCACTCTATGTATCTCTTCATCTGGCTGTTCATCTGTATTCTTCATCATGTTCTTAATAACCTGGTAAAAATGTTTTCCTGAGTTCTGTGAGCCATCAGAGAAAATTATCACACCTGAGGAGGGGGTTGTGGAACCCTCGGTTCACAGACAAGGCAGACAGAGTGTGGGTAACCCGGAGACCCACTACTTGCAATTTGGCATCTGAATTGGGGGAGCAGTCTTGTGGTTCTGAGCCCTTAACCTGCAGGGTCCGCACTAACTCCAGGTACTGTCAGAATTGAAATATAATACTTGGTTGGTGTAGAGAGAGTAG